CGTTAAGAGCCTTCTGTGGCGGAACCACTTCTGACCTTCTGACACCAACAACCCATTTCCTGAAGAACATGTCCACGGGTGAGGAAAGCAGCAAAACAAACAACTCTGCACTTTAAATGCTGTTGAAGGGAGACAAATGAGTCTTACCAATCCAACCCTCAATAAACCGGTAGACAAAATCATCTTTTGGTTCTGTTAGGAAACAAAACAAATAAAAATGGTGTTAGGGACTTTTAACTTTACTACACAGTTATAAATGTGCATCAACACAACAACTATGCTAAAATATTTCTCACACCTGATGATGTCAGGATAGTTTTTGCATAATCTGGATGCTGAATATTGATGATACTGAGAAAGGGGCCAAACCAGATTGGGAAAACATATGAGTACTCCTGTCCCCATTTCACTACCTTGTCCATTCGGTCCCATCTTGTTTAACTGAGAAAAGTAACTGAACAAAACACAGACTACAGCTGTCAACTGTGTCTCTGTTTGCAGAATGGTGTTCTTCACTGAGTATCGAATTAAAAAGTAGATTATGAAGAAGTGCGGTTAAAAAAATATTTGCAAATTCTATCAAAAATAACTTTGTTTGTTAACCAAAATAATTTCTTCTTATGTAAAGTGAACATCACACGCAGAAATGTAGATTTTCCTTTTGGCTATTCTGTTTACCTGTCAAACACTTGTTCCTTCATATGGTTACTACATACGTTGAGTTTATTTGAAGAAATATTAACACAATCAAATCCATTTAATTGACTTTATGATTAAAAAACTCAACAAGCAAGGAAATCCTTGACAACGCCTCTAACTTTATATTGTTAAATATAATCTTTGCAGATTATATTCATGTTTTTTTAAACGAATAAATACTCCAGATTACATATCATACTTAATTGCCCAAACCTGACTGACATGCTGCACATGCTGCATGCTGCTCTATGACAAATTAAGACACTTTAAAGTACTCAGCTCAGCACTTTTGGGGGCGTTTATGATATTCATTAGAATTTAATCTCATTAATAAAAGTGTAATTGTGTCAGTTGTTGTCCTTGGCGGTCAATAAGTTGGTTACAAGTGCTTTGTTTGCACATGAAGTCCAAACTCCAGTGAGTTTAACCGTACGATAAACTGTCAAAACAGCTCAATCACAGTTTGGTTCAACCCCCACAAACATTATCTCAGCATAAAATACAATGTGAGCACATATTTGGCATCTATATATTAAAAAAGAAACTGGTTTGTGATGCACATTTTGTGTCTTAACACCCATACTAAATGTAAGAAGCAAATCATATGCCAGACCACATCAGAAAAACAGTGTGGGTGACAACCTTGCTAAATTTCCTCTGTACTGGCTGTTGGACCACTTCCAATGTGTCAGGCTCATTTAAGCAGTTAAGCTCAATCTAAAACCTTTTGCTGAGAGGCAGAGTTTGTGATCTGTGTTTTTATGAGCAGTAATGGTACAGCCAGGATGCTTCATGTTGGGTTTTATTTCTGCGGGGACAGGAATTTCTCCCATATGAAACAGAAAGGCTTCATTTTCATCTTTTTACTTGTTTGGAACTTCTCTAATTTCTCAGGAAACAGTGAGTATCTGATCAAATCATTACTTAACTGAATTCATTATTCAAATTGCTTAATTAAATACAATGTATTTAAAATACAATTGATGAACTGACTTTTGAATATTTCATATATTTTTCAAGTGACTGTTAATATAAATGAGCAACGTGATATTTTGCGAGTCGCAACACAACTTAATTTTTCGCTGGGATGTCGAGCTGTGATACCGTGTCAGCATTACTTCCATCGATCAGACTCTTTCAAATGGTTTTACAAGAAGGACCATAGCAGTAAGCAGGTTCGGTTATTCTTCCGAGATAAGAGGGGAATGCAATATCATCAAATATCCAATCCCAAATTGAGAATTGGATCCAATCATTCCTTGGTTATCAGCTCTTTTACTGAGGATGAGGAAGGTGTGTACTGGTGTGAAACTTGCCAAGAAACATGCCAAAAGTCCACTGACATCATAGTGAAGAAAGGTTTGTCCTGCTGTCATATTTTTCTCCGTTAAGTCAGAATCTACCTGTGCTTATGGTTTTTAAATTTGCCAAAGATAATTCTCACAATCCTTTACCTCTCTTTTTTCAGAGACGTGGAAAGACGTCAATGAGACAGTTTACATTGTTGCTGGCAGCAGGTTTCAGCACACATGTTCAAGTAAACTTGATAAAATAAACTTTTGGACTTTTGAAGCAACGACTGCTGTTGGGAAATCAGAAGTAAGAGCAACAACAGACAATTTGACTTTCAACAAGTCTATATATATTGGAAATGTCAGAAGAGAAGATGCTGGGAAATATACCTGCTGGATGAGTAGCTGTGTCGGACACAGTATTAAGCGAGTCACTATCAATTTGTGTGTAGTTACAGGTGAGAAACTAACACACAAACATCATTGTTTCATGATAGAAGATAACCTGATGTAACCTTTTGATCTTTACTTACAGTATATGACAGTAAGGATTCATCTGCATCTTGCGCTGTGACGTGCGGCATGAAATCAAATAATCCAAACAGAACTTCAACTACATCTGTGCCTGTACATCCACACGGGTCCCTAAAGTGCAATACAGATTCAGTGTTTGATGGATACACTACAGTTACTAAGAGTCCCACATTTAGCACAAACGCATTTAGCACAAGAACAGGTGGGTGTTTAGCCATATGCTGTTTGTGAATCTTTTTCACCCGAATCAAAGAAATATTAATATTTAGCTTTTGGTTTAACAGGTTTTCAAAAAGAGCCTGAAGACTGGATCCCACTTATTTGTGGTATATCAGTATCATGTGTCATTTTAATGGCACTTTTAATTTTCTGCTTGAAATCAAGGTTACATTCAGGTAGGCTATGCAGCTGCGCCTCACTTCCACTTCCTGTGTACATTATTGTTTTGTTTTTTTCTTATGGTTTGCTTGAAAAATTTTCCCCTCTGATTCTGAATATGCTTCTGCTTCTGTCTCACCAAAGCATTTCCTGTTCAAATTTGTTGCTGTGGCTTGAATAGCAGGGTAAGTGTCTGTGCTGACATCGAGGTGAAACCTAAAACCCTCATGCAGAAATGAAGTGTGTGCGTGTTACTTTGTCTGGGTAATGAAATGTATTGCTTTTTACTGCAGGTGGAAGAAGAGTCTTCAGTGATTTATTCATCAATTATCATCAGGACACCGGGCAAAAGAATTAATCAAATGACCTCTAGTGATTGCAGTGAAATAAAAGTATAGAGAAAAAAGTCCAGGATAAGTGCAGTCACTTTTATTTATATATAACTGAACTTTTACCTAATTTTCTGAAGGCAGGGCAGGTGTTTTAAAGTACATGGATCAAGATAATTTTAATGAGAAACTTTGAGTGTGATACAGATGTTATGTAACAACATTTTTTTTTGTTGTTGCTCAGTACAGAGGTGAGGTCCATTCATGAACTGCATGAAAGAACAGTTTCTGATTACCTTGCAGATCAAGTTAAGATAAAACAAATGTAGGTAAAGAAGTAATGTTGACCTCAATATTCTACGGCAATTAAATGCTGCTTTCACAAAGAGGAACGTTATTAGGTACATTAATTTAGTCGAGCTCAGCAATTAAAACAAATTTACAAACAATTTCTATTTTTTTTGTTAAAAGAAAAAATACTTTTTACACTAAATTTATTTTACAGCTGTATTTTGTCTTGCAGTTTTAGGTTTTACATAATCACCATATAAAATATAACCGCAGTAAAAAAGCATCTAAGCAAAAGGTTGCATAAAGAAGGCTGTTAGAAGTGTTAAAACCCCAGAAGTACTGCGTCTGCAGTGTTAATCAATAATGATCATCAGTGATAGCAAAACAATAACACCCTGCAGACAAAAGGTTATAGTATGATTATTACTGATTATTACTCCGAATAGCCTAAATTGAAAACAATGTGAGTACCTCACCCACTTTTTTTATACACCACAACACCAACCCACAGAGACAGACAGGACATGACACGCAGGACAAACCACTACATCACGATCTGTCATTGGTGGCGGTGTGCACAGCTCTAATGAAAACAAACCCAAATAAGGCAGCTGGCCCAAATAATATCCCCAGGCATGCACTCAGGGTCTGCTCATCAGAGCTGGATGGTGTATTCATAGACATACAATCTGCCCATCCTTTAAGTACATTACCAGTGTGGCCCTCTCCAAGAAACATACTGCCACATGCTTAAATGACCATCATTCTTTTGGACTAACATCAATTGTGATGAAGTGTTTTGAAAGGATCAAAAAGACTGTCCTGGCCACCTTGGACTCTTTACTTTATGCACACATACAGAATCAGTCCACTAGAAGGTAGTAACACATCTGTGAAAATGCTGTTAGTTGACTGAAGCTGCATTTAATGCTGCAGACTCTCTGAGAAGCTGCTCTTAGTCAGACTCACACCCTTTCTCTGTAACTGAGCTCTGAACTTCCTGTAAGATAGACCGCACTCAGTCAGAGTTGGACACCAGATATCAAACATCAGAACTGTGAGCACTGGTATTACTCAGGGGCACGTGCTGAGTGCACTGCCACATGCTCTCTTCACATATGAGTGTGAGCACCCCCCTAATCAATACCAGAATTATAAAATTTGCATATGAATCTAAAGTAATTGGGCTGATTACTGGCAGGGATGGCATAGAGAAGAGAAGTGAAATGACTAGTGGCCTGGTGTCAGGAAAATAATCTTGCCCTAAATGTAGATAAGAGCAAGGCGATCTGAGGAAAAAACACTCCAAGACAGAGGTAGAGGACACACATGAGGTTGGATTTCACCTGGTCTCACAACCAGCACATTGACTGTACTTTCTAAGATGACTAACAGGGCCCAGCTGCACTACTCAAGACAGGAACACTCTATTGTGCGAGACTGCACAATAAATCACAGGATCATCTTTTCATTAGTATATGACATTTACACCAACAGGGCTGTCAGCATTGCCCACATCAACATTAAATACAACACACACTCACAACACCACCAGTTAACAGGTAGGTGGTAGATTCTAAAGGTAGATGCAACAGGAGTCTGAAATCAAAGACTGTAAGTCTCAAATCAGACTCGTGAATAAGACAGTCAGTTATGCCTCTCTTCTACCCCATCAATATTATTGACTATTACTGTAATTATTATTACCTGCTATGGCACAAATTTGTAAAGACCGGTTTGCAAATATGGACAAAGCAGGTACAACTCAGGTTTTCAAACTCAGGTTTGTTTTTAAAACTAATTTTAGTGTTTGCATCTTCAATTCTTGCAATCTGTAAAATTTCCGGATTCTTTATTTTTATTTTATTTGAATAATTATTTTTGTTTTGTGTCAAGAGATTGGCAAAATTAAGTGTAAACTACTGCTTTTATTTCCACAGTATGTATGCCAATAAAGCCTCTAAACTTAATACTCAGTAATATATACTTTTCACAGTACTGTGAAAACAGTAATAGTTTTCACAGTACTGATAATCCATTCGTATAGCCGGTGTTAATAAAAGCAGAGTACCTATAGCCTAAAAAGCCTGTCTGTCCATGACGTCCATGTCCATTTCTTTCTATTTTATACACGGATGACCTGCTGTCGATATTTTAACACTACCAGTAGGTGGCTGTAATGAGCCTCAAAGTTGGATGTCTACCGATTTGACACACCAAAGGAAGACGCTTCTCATTCATTGTTGTTGCTAACTGTGTTCACTTTTTCTTTGATAACTAAAAAGACGTTTATTTCTTTCCGCGTTCGCTTCTTTATTTTTGAAAGGTAATATATTTTTAATGTTTCTGTAATAACATTGAAACGTTTAGCCTGTTAGCTTAAGTAACGTTCCGGTTAGCTACTAGAAAACAGAGTAGCTGTGTAGTAGTAGCCGTGTGTTCAGAACCCCGTTTAGGCCTTTGGTCTTTTATTAAAACGTTATCGAGAACGAACACTTAAAACATTTACCCTTTTTCCTCGGCTACTGCTCTTCGTGGTTTCGTAGACAATAATGCACTATAATTGTTGTTTCGAGTGATTTACACCTAGATTAGAAGGCGTTATCACTGGCTATTAGCGAGCTAAAAGTTACAAACTCTGTTACCTATGGCGACAGGTGAATTTTTTTTGTTAATGATGGCATTGCTACATCAGATGTTCCGACATGTATATATATGTATCTGCATATAATTTTCTTTCTTTAGGCTCAAAAACCTCAAAGTACCCGAGGAAAGATGGAGGCGCCACCTGTTACTGTAATGCCTGTCACTGGGGGCACAATTAACATGATGGAGTATCTGTTACAAGGTAAGATATCATGCATCCACCGAAGCTGAAGCAAGTAAGCAGGCAAATAACAAGCCCTGAGTGTTATACATAGCATAAGGTACTGATAGTGGCAATACTACAGATAGTAGCTTATAGTAACAAAAATGCAAAGCAATGGCAATAATCATTTAATAGTTGCATTGTGCAACTGTTCAGCACAATGAGTAAAGTTACATGAGCAACATCCTTTGGTGTGAAAGTGAACAGTGTTACATATGTCACCTTTGACCTAAATGATTATGCACTAGCTCCTAAATAACAGCTAAATTCTTATTATAATATTATTATAAATAATTTTTAAAATGGTGCATTTACAATGTTTAAAACCTTATTTCTTAACTTGGTCACTCAATTGTAGAATACTGTGGGCCTTCTCCTGGACAATCGCAGTTTTGCCTAAAAAATGTATGGTCCAAAGTTTTGTCATGTATGATTGCTGTGAAGTTTTATCAAATACTTTTTAAGATATATTTTCTTTGAAATATGGACCATTGAACCTCTTCCAGCATTTTTTTTGTCATACATACCAGATGTTTGAACACAAATATCTGTTAAAGATAATAAAGTTAAATGCATATGATTTCCATATCCAGATCTGCAGATCCAATCTGTCTCATATTTAAACGCACACCAATTTTTAATGGTATACAATTGAATTTCACAATAATGCAAAATGGAAAATTATTTCTTAGTTATAAAAATGAAAACAAATCTTTTTAGGGGGGTTTAAATTTCATGCTGGATTGAGAAAATGTGAAGTTGTACCACAAAAATGAAAAATACATGCATAGTTTAACCCAAATAGACCAAAATTCTAAATTCTGGAGGTTTCAGATGGTATTCTGATAAAAAGATTTTGATTTATTGAGATAAGTTTAATAAATCAAAATGAGTATTTCATGACCTACTGAACTGTCTTATAATTTACTAGGTTTAAAATATTACTGCATGTGCCCTGAAAGTGGGTGGATGTGTATTTTTTTTGTTTTAAAGGAAAATCTTTGAGGTATTTGATATATGAAGCAAAAATGTCAAAGCAAACATTATATATGTACAAACTATGGACGATCTGAGATAGTGGAGACTATATTTATAAATATAATATGTATAGAGTCCTGGCCATCAGATCAAATGTCATTTTTTGTATTTGTTCCTTGTGCACTTTATTTAATCAGGGAGTGTGTTGGACCAGGCCCTGGAAAGCCTCTTGCATCGCCTTCGAGGTCTGTGCGACAACATGGAACCTGAGACTTTTACTGATCATGAGTTGGTTTACCTTCTCAAAGGCCAGCAAGGAAATCCCTTCATTTTGCGTGCCCGCCGTTCCCTCTCCCACCCAACTGCTCCATGGCACCTACGCTACCTTGGTCAATCTGAAGTGGGAGACAAGAGTCGCCACGCTTTGGTACGCAACTGTGTTGATGTTGCTGCCACTCACAGCCTTCCGGAGTTCCTCAATGAGATGGGCTTCCGCATGGACCATGAGTTTGTCAGCAATGGACACATATTTCGTAAAGGTGCAATGAAAATTGTGGTCAGTAAGCTGTCACGCATACTTGTACCAGGGAATACAGAAAACACTGAGCATCTATCACTTTCATACCTGGTGGAGCTGAGTGTGTTGGCTCCTGCAGGACAAGACACTGTGTCAGAGGACATGCGCAGCTTTGCTGAACAACTCAAACCCCTGGTTCACTTGGAAAAGATTGACCCTAGCAAACAGAGACATTAGCCAGTTTTCCACAAAAAGGAACTTTCCCCGGGTGACTGGGAACCTTGGGAGGGACTCCATGAGTTTCCACCAGAGGAACCAGGTCTAAGTCAACTTCTGAGGGAATTATTTCACTCTCAAAAAAGTTCCTTCTCAGGGCAGCATATTTTGAAAATTCAGTAACATTGGTGTTGGGGCTTGCAGCATTGAACAGAACTGATTGGCAGCCTCCTTGCACTATTTTAGTTAACTGCCTGAGCTATAGCTGATGTTATAGAGAGGGAGGTTGTTTTCAAGTGGGATAGTTTTTGAATGAAGGGGGGTGGAGGGACTAAACAAAGTGGTGAGTTAGAGGAATAAAATATTTTCTTTTTGTATTGTCTCACAACGCTTATGTTCTAAAGCAAAATTAAACATGGTCACACTTTTATGAAGGAAAAGCCATGTCGGAAGTTCTGGAATTTCCAGATTTTGTGTGAATGGAAGCAAAGATTCATCCTGTCCTCTGTGGCTGCTTTACTGTGTGCTTCAAAGAGACACTGACCTGCAGGTATGACACACAGAGCAGGGAAAAGAGACATAGACGCCTAATATGTAACGTCCTCATTATCAACTATAAAGCCCCACTTTTAAAAACACCTGTCACTTCATCAAAGAACTAATGTGCATAACCATTGTATGTTTTTTTTTGTTTGTTTGTTTTTTAATAAAATAAAAAAGAGTCTATATATAGTCTTGGTTTAACAGTTACTGTTTGGTCAATTTTTAATGAGATAGAGAACATTTCAGCTAATACTGTCAAACATCACTGCATTCTACTAACTTTTACCAAATCATGGTTCTATAAGTTGGGCTGTAGGCAAGCTTATACCTGTGTTAACAATCAACACAATTCCTGGAAAGCCGAAAAATGATTTTAGTTGTTTATTTTTGCAAATGATAACAAACTAGATAATATTTTCCATGTATCAACATTTCAAAACAGAATTTGAGATGTATGATTTTGGGTATTTTTCAGTTTATTGGAATCCTGTTTACATTTAAAGTTTCTTTTCAACACTCAGCTTTCATGGATATGTTCACTTCATCCCACTAGGGGTCTCTGTTTCTCTTCTTGTAAATATCCTGATTGAAGCAAATTGGATGCTACCTCACATCATCTACATGAGCTGTGGTTGCCATGGAAATAATTAGCTGTGAGATCTGCACATCTTTCCCCCCCACTCTAATTAGCTTTCTCAATTGCTTAATGATACATAGACCTGTGAAAGCCTTCCTTTCTTCCCCTCAACAAAAGCATTGATTTTCCCTCTCTTTCCCCTCTCATTTCTACTGTTAACCCATTAGTGGCTCTTTCATGGGAACATGAGCTGGGACTATTACACATGAAAGCACTACATCTGCTTCAGGTTCTCCACTGTTAATATCGAAATCCAGAAAGGCCCATGCAGTAGTGTGTCAACATTATGGCCCGATCTAACTGCGGAGACCAAAGTAACTAATGCACATCCTGTCAGTTATGATAATAATGTTGGTAATAAGGCATGAGTGCTTCTAATAATACCCCTACAGGAAGATGCATTTGCAGAGATTGAGATGTAAAGTGACCGCGTGCATGTCTGAGGGGGAGAGCTCCAGGGCAGATGGCTGTCTCTACATGTTGACCTACCTGCGTATCATGGCTGATGAGGACAAACTCACTGAGGTGGAAAGGTGAGATGGCAGTGCTTCCACATGCATTTGGTGCAAGTTGAAAAACAACACAAAATGAACTTTGAACATTTACTAATATGTTAAAAATGTGTACTTTTCTAATCTTGTTTTGAAGTTAAGGTTAAATTGAACTGCTACTTGGTACACAGGAGTTGCCTGTCAGTGAGACTGGATTATCTGATGGAGACAGTTTTATGTTCCAACAACCAGAAGCAGACTGCCGGCCCTTAGGACTAAAGCATGATGTTTCAGCTCTGAGTGAATTATGTATTAAAGAGGCAGATGCCTCCTTGCCCAAGGCTTTATATGTCCAGCATGGATACACTACAGTCTACTGGCTTTCTTCCACTTAAACTTGTGTTTAGCACAGTGCTCTTTGGTGATGAGCTAGACTCCCACTGCACCTCCACTCAGCACTGCATTGCCTGGAGAACAGAGGCATAGTTAGGCTAATCAGTGTCTTGGCATCAAGCCTACTTGGCTATTGTGGATGTAGCCAGCCACTGACTTGCACAAGTAAGAGATTTAACTCATTGCTGGAGGCAATATGATCCGTTCTGTGGTTTATTTCAAGAAACTGAGACCAGAGCGACACCCTTTCAGAACGTGATATGGTTAAGGTTGCAGTACTCGAATGATTATTAATCTTATTCACTTTCATTGTTGGGTTGTTAATACTATTTCATAATGCCTGAAGCCTGAAATACTTTCATCATCGATTAATTTTTCAATTTGACGACGCAGAGAACGGTATATTCTTTTTCATCGCTTACTCCCAGCTCCAGGAATATCAGTTTTCTTTTAATGGATCATCCAGTCTGTAAAATGTCAGAAGAGAATAACCAAGAGAAAACAAAGTACAAGTCTCATTGAAGTTCTTCAAAGAACAATGTTTTGCCATTATTGCTTACTTGTTTCTAACCAACAGACCAAAGTTTGACAGTATTTAATTTTCAAAGTGGTAATTGATCCACCCCCTAAAATGACTGACTCTACTGTGGACACTAACTGAAAAAGGTAATTTATTCTTCTAGTTGTGCATGTGCATTTTGTCTGAAAACATAGCCTTTAATAATCTTTGGCATCAGTGTATTATAACACAATTACACTCTCTTCAGCTTTGAGCATGAGAGCGGTGCATGCTGATTTCCCTCTCTGGACCATTTGGTCGTTCTCTGTTTTTAACGGTTAAATATAATTAATTGGCTAAGGCTAAGATTGTATTAGTTAATCATATTCTGTTAGCCCTCTGAAACAGGGATGGAAGCCATTACCTGCACATGCCTTTACTTTCCTCTTTACAACACAGTCTTAATTAAAACTCTTGGCACCAATTGTCTTCGCTGCCTCTGTTCATAGTTGGCAGTGAAGATGCCAAGATGCCACAGAAATCTGGCACTGGCTCGGGGCAGGAAGTCTTCAAGTCAGCCTACTTTGGGTCAAAGCCAAGAAGGGGTGAAATCCAGCGTCGCCTACTCAGAAATGTTCCCAATACTTGGATATGAGCCCTCTCCTTCCTGTGTCATTGGGAACCCATATGCTTGTTAGAGAGTGTGGGTTATTTGCTGAGAGGGGAGGGAGAACCAAAGGAGGTGCTTTCCCAGACAGACATAGATCTCCCTAGGGTGTTCTTGTGGCTTCTCTAGATTCCTCTACTTCCAACCGTGCTGGGCAGAATGGGGTGCAGGGATAAATTGCACAACACCACAAGGTTGTGAGTGATGGCTAAAATGCCAGGGCCAAAGAAATCCGTAAAGGTATTATAGAAATAGTTGGGGGGGAAGTGTCCCTTTCCTTATTTGAAAGGAATTCCAGAACAGTTTCTAACCATGCAAAATAACAGGCACAAAGCTCTGACTTGTTGTTCATGTGGTGCTCTGCCTTGCTTGTGGCTGACTGAGGTGATTATTGCTGTGCAGAACACGCTGTTCTAGGATCAGCCATTCAGTGCTTTAAGCCAGCCTTGCTGCCTCTGGTATGTCTGGTATGGGGACAACTTAGCCATCAGCCTGCAGGGACTGAAGTTGTAGTTTTTAAACTTGTGCTGCCAGAGCCTTTGTCTTTGACTCTTAGTTCTTTGCTTTTCCCTTTTTCTCTTGAGACTCACTCCTGCTGTGGGTCTCTGGATCTGATCGTTTGCCTTTTTTTTTTGATAGTCACAATTACTTTTCTTTCGCTTCATTTGTAATCAAGACACATTGTGTATTCTCGAGTGTCACCAAAATTGTGGCATTCATAAGTGTTCCAGGGGAAGCATCTCAAGTAGAACCTTGTCTCGGAGACGAGAGGCTACGAGAGGCTTGACTCGCTCCACCTCTGGTTTGATTGAAATTCTTGGCATGCAATAATCAAAATACAATAAACCATCACCCATTAATTATATTTGTAGTCAGAATAGGGTTTCTAGGCTTATTACACACAAACTATTAGCAACATGGCATTTTAACCATGTGATTGTACTGATGCTGAACGTTAAGTCATTCCGTGACACACCATATGACACATCCTCCCACATTTAAAAGCGTGCTATTTTTGACGCATATTTCTCAACATCACTCATGTCTGAGTGCACAGTGTGGCCTTGTTGTGCAACTTTTAAGTACTGCTTCTGTCCACAGTTGAACGCAGGAAAAAGGTGGAGTCCTCAGACAGTTTGAGACACCTTTCTGCACAGGGGCTGTTTTGATGATGGATGTGTCATTGAAAATGTTTATTTTAACTAAAGTGTAGTGACTAGAATACACACGTCTAAGGGTCTGTAGATGATGTATAATTGTAGTGAAATGCATTTTTCCTCTTTTAAATATTTTGATGGCAATGGATTGACAGCAAAAAGCCCCCACAGGTTATAGCTGTTAAAATGCTTGCTTGGAGTGACTGCCTCACTTCTAAATAATATTAGTTTTTATTTATTCATTCTTTAATTCTTTACTGGAAGTGAGAATCTACAGAAGCAGGACTGTTTTAAGGTATGAATAAGTGAATAAGTAATACTCTCCCTACAGCAACCATCACCACTGCATGCGTGAGTCCGCCTAAAGCTGTCAGGCAGTGTTTCTGTAAACATGCAAGTTCCACAAATCTTTCTTAGATTGATACAGGTAAAAGGGTCAGGTAGCCTAGTGTTTATAAGGGGAGATGGCCAATCGGATTCAAGCACCTGTGACTCTGTCCCCGCCCAGCCGTCAGCTCTTAGAAGAAGGTGGTAGGATAAAGGATCGGAGACCCCAACGCCTCGACCCCTCGGTCAGTGAAGCTAAAGAATTGCGCACACGGGTCTGACCGGAGCTCAATGCGCCGGGCAGAGTGTCTTTGAGGCAAATGCGTTTAGAAATGACAATATGTAAGTCTTTTGTTTACCCTCATTTATGTGAAGTATGGAGGAGATATATATATTTCTTTCAATCTGGCATCTGAAGCACCCCCCCTCCGGATTAAAATCTAGGGTTAACTAATCTCGGTTAATCTGAACTAAATCTGTCTAATCGGCATAGAAAATTACACTCACTGAGGTATTGCCCGCAAATAATCAGCGGAGCCGGGCGCCGTAAATTCTCCCTGAAGGGCATTTGGACGTTGCACACCGTGCACGCGACAATTTGTTACGCTCAGACTTTTTTTTTTTTTAAAGAGAAAAACCCGTGTCGCAATTGTGCAGGAATTTTTCCTTTCTCTGTGTTACACATTGTCTTGTTTTATTAGGGCTGGACACGGAGGCTGGCACACAAAGCGCCATGTGACGCTCCGCCACAAAGATCATTATGCGGAGTTTTGATTAAGAATTTTGGGGTTTTGCCCCCTTCGTTAGTAGCCTAACTGAGGCGCAGGAGAGAGGAGGGAGAGCAGCAGAGAAAAGAGGGAGAGCGAGAGAGAGAGAGAGTTCGGGATTTCGCTGTAATCATGTTTGGAGAGTATTGATTTCGTGAGCGCACTCCAATTGGCAGCATCTCTACTATACAGCGCCGGCGCGTCATCCTCGGTTCACATCGACGGAACGAGTTGTAAGCAAATGAGAACATGTGTGGGATCTGAGTGAGTGAGAAAAGGCAAGGGGTGATAGAGGGGAGCAAGAGGAGGTGTGATAAAAGCCAATTTTATCAGCCCGACGAGTGGATACGAGATTTGATTGCCGGACTATTTTTCCCTCCTTTATATTTTTCAGACAGGGAATTTATCGATTCGTCACAAGCGCACGCCTCTTCATTATAATTGCAGACAGTTGGGTGCTGTTCAGGCTGAATGGACTTGAATGTGCCGCTGCCAGCTTAATCCGTGCAGACTGGAAGATTTAATAATTCACGGTAATCACGCATTATCGCCTCAGTGGATGCTCTCTACACAGCCCTGGTGATTTTCCCCCTCTTTCCCGTTTCTTCCTGTTGTCTTCTGGAGGATTTATCGACGGCTGCTTTTGTCCTTATCTGAAAGATCATCTGTTGCTGCAACTGGATTGAGAAGCCCCCAAGACTGACACGGGTTTGAATGTTTTAAGGTGATGCGGACTGCCAAATAAATAGTTCAGTCACCATTAGATAATTTACTTCAGGTAAAATGGACAAGAAATTATTATTACTTTTATTACTTCTGCTATCTCTACACGCGAGGCTATGATTTTTCTTTCATTCATCATGATTCTTCTACTCCGCTGAATTGCCCATTATTGATTCAGACTGAGCTTAATAGCCATATTACAAGGCAAATTCCTACGTGAAGACAGCGGGATACGTGAATCGTGGAGGTATTTCCCCACCCTTGCTCTACGTTTGATTTATTCTTTTTTCAACTGAAGGGTAAATGTTGATGATGGAGGACGACGAATTAGACGCTCATCAGGTTGATTCGGATTTCGAGCCTCAAAGCCGCCCTCGCTCATGCACCTGGCCGCTGCCTTGTCCACAGGATTTCCCCGGTGGACACGAGGTGAACGTAGGTCTTCCACTGGCCAGCATCAAGGTAGAACCGGAAGACATCCCCGCTTGCAGAGCGGGGCTCGTGGGCGGAACGCCGGGAGAGCTGAAGCATCCAGCCGGCGCCCCTGCACCCACAGGCGCGACGCACCCATGCTTGGCTGGCGCAGCTCTGGATGTCACCGGACCCCTGCGCAAAGCCAAATCCTCCCGGCGAAACGCGTGGGGGAACCAGTCCTACGCGGATCTCATTACCCGCGCTATTGAGAGCACCCCAGAAAAGAGACTCACACTGTCACAGATATACGACTGGATGGTCCGTTATGTGCCCTATTTCAAGGATAAGGGCGACAGTAACAGCTCAGCTGGCTGGAAGGTAAGAAATAAAGCAGCCGGGCCAGCGTGACAAGGTTGTGATAATCACAGTGATAATATCGATTATTATTCCTGTTCACTAAGCTATTATGATTCTTTCACCCCGCGTGACTTACACGTTACCGTGGGATTCCGCGTCTGTTACGCATGAATGGTGCCATGCGTTATCTTGTCTTAGTTCATTACTGCCGTCAGTCATTTTAATATATCACTGAGGCAAATTGTAATAGAGTGGAGTGGAATCACTTGTTACGTCTTTATATAGAAAAGAAAAAAATGAGACAGAGAGAGGAAAGAAAAAAGGGGCTTTTCTCATCCCAGCTGCAGAGAGCCTGGTCATGATGGGCAGCAGTGTTCATAATAGCGCATAAAATCCCCTCAGTGGGAATAGGACCACAGCGGTTCACGATGAATCTTACTACATGCTGCTAATAATAGACAAACAGAGAAAACCATCCCATGCATTTTCATGCAGAGAGAAAGTCCAGATCTTTTAGTTATGATTAAAACATATCTAAGAATCAATTGAGTGACACTTGTAGGAGATCACAGGTCAACTGACCACCATGTAAATATTTAGTGGGGCGTCTACAATTGACCACAGTCCACTACCACCGCCTGTCTGGCTGAGAGCCTAGAGTAACCTCCTGGACATCTGCCCATGTTATCAGCCCCTGCTCCCAGCCTCATCTTGTTTCTATTCATTATAGGCAGCTGAGGACAGCGAGAGGGGGCAGAGGGATCAGCAGGGCAGCAGTGCTTGTCCTGATGGTGTAACTTTGCAGAGCTGAGCTTTGAGACTAGATGTTAGTAGATTTTCATGTCAATACAGAAAAGACGTGCTGAGTGTGATGGCTCTTTGTAGATGCAGTGCCAGTAGGTTATGTGTATGTAAGCAAGATGATTAGAAAAGATAAGAGATCTTTCACATTAACTTCATGTTAAGCAACCACACTTCTCTTCCAACCTAATGCTTGGTGCTAAATTTATCTTGTTAAATACTTTCACATTATTTCTATTCATCCACAGGGTGTGCCATTTACACCATAACATATCAACAAATATCAAAGTAATGGCATGACTTCAACTTGCATTTGTCTTATCTTTCTGAGGAATTAACCTTTTTTCAAAACATAGTCTGTTACCAGAGCTGAGTCTAATTTTTTTTTCCGGGTGGGGGCCTCAGCCGTAGCACCTGACTGTCATTTTAAGCCTGTCCTGTTAAACTGAAATGATTGTTAAGGTGTGGCCTCAGGTAGACTTCTTCATTAGCTCTCCATTTACACCAGCAACCACGGGGCTTCTTTATCTTTCGCGCCAAAGCCCTACTATGCTATTTATGAAACTGCAAATTAAGGGTGTTGACAGTGGCAGTCTGAGGTCCTGTGCTATTTCAGGCCACAGGCGCGACGCGGGGCCCATTCCAGGTAATGATGGGGGATTAGGTAAGTCGTTTACAGCAGGCAGCCGTAATGTCAGTAACAGGCCTGACCTGGTTTTGGTCAGAGACAGAGAGGTAATATAAACATACACTTAGAAGTCACATGTGCAGCTCATCTAAAGGAACCAAGCAAACAGCTGGTGGAATACTGCCGCCCAGCAGCATACCTGTACATGCAACACAACATTCATCTCCAAGTTTGTAGTACCTGTGGCTCAATATATAAGAGTTGCATATGAAATCACAGGATGTCCAATCCATAATAAATGTATCAGTATGAAGCCACATGGACCCCAAATCCATCTGCCTTCTCTCTTACTGTACATGTGCATAAAACAGGTGCACTCTGATACATATAATTTTACAACCACATCAAGCAATTAAATTTGACACTAGTATTTGTGAGTTGGGAGTATTCATGACATTTTGATCCCAATCAACAATATTGTATGAGCAGAGCCTTTCATGTAAAACTCTTTTTTTTTTCTATAGTGGCAGAGAAACAGGGAAAACAAAACAAAAATAATACGGTGATGCAATCAAATGAAATTAAGTGGTATAAGTTTGCAGTTTCAATGCGAAGTTCAAAGGTGGAGGTTGGTTTTCTTGAAAGGAGTGGTCGTGCTTTGGGGGGATAACCAACTTAAAGACATTGAAATCTCTCGAGGCTGTTGTTATTGAACATAGCGGTTCTAGAAAAATCTTATAGAGCAGATTGTGTTGCCGTGACTGCAATTGGAAAGGATGTGATGCTGGCTTGATGCTGGGTAGTAGACAGCCAGTACACCTAGACAGTGCCATTAAGCTCCTATAAATACCTAATGGCTTCTGACTTCTAGGAAGGCTGCAATATTCTGAGGTCACGGCTTCCTAATCAGCTCCTTAGTGGAGGGAGGTTAGAACTGTGTTCTTGTGAACCCCTATTAGATTAGTGGCAACTTCACTGCCTTTTATTTTCTAGTTTTCTGTACATAAACTGATCCAACCCAGAAATTAATGGGATTTTGAACTGATGTTAGTGACTGATACTAAATCTCCTCCATATATGTGTGTCCTTTATGTATTCAAGGCTACTTACATCTGAGTAAAAGCATCCATGAGTGCATGTGGACGCATTCTGCATTTGTGCGTGGGAGAAGCACATGTCAATTCCAACAAAGCGTCAGGGTTGGTAGTGTTGTGGGGGCTAGTGCAGGGGGAGGGGCTGTCTACTTCTATTGGAGTGTGTGCTTGGGGCTGCTGATTGGTCTGACAGCATGTCACTGCGGTGAATGGTATATAGTCTTACTCTTGACTTCATAATGCCTCTAATGGCGGGGTACCACTTGGTGTCGGGATTGCCCTCTAGGCTCCCACAAGTTCATTAACATCAAGGGTGTTAGAAGATGCCATTGGGATTCTAGGGTGTTGTTTTATTGTATAAGCCAGCATGGGTGGTTATGGAATTCACAAATCCATAATACAGCAATACTTTTGGTGTATTAAGTATGTTAAAGTATGTTAAGTATGCTTTATTTCTCTATGTAATTGCAACTAATAAGCACTGATGTGGAATAATTTTCTTTTTCCGTCTACTTGAAACATATAGTTTTTCCTCATTGTGCGTGCTCTGCCAGGAAATTTTCTCATACTTGGAGTGGCCAGACACCAGGGGATTGTGCAGCAAGTTGGCAAGGGTGCAAGGCAGTCACTTAGACACTTTAATCCAAAGCAATTAGACTGTTATTTATAAAGTGTATTTAGGTAGAGGTCTGTGCAGGGCCACAAGGGCAAAAGTTCATGCACACACACACACGCAAAAGAAAAAGGAAAAAAAAAATCAGTCAAACCAGTTTGCCTGAAAGATTGCTCTCAAGAAAAAAAGCAGGAGGTATGACAGAAAAGTGACTGCAGCATTACAAAGGAAAGACAAATGGAATTTGGAGAAATGAAGAGGGAAGAAAGGAAAAGTGTCTCTAGGTATATGTATAATCTTATCTCCTGTAAAGGCGCATAACCCCTGTCTCAACAGACAGTAGTATTTATAACAGAGTATGACTATATAACTTTATCTAATTGATTTATAGGTAAAGAGAGACAGACTCTCGTAATCCTGTCACAATACAAACGCTCTAGCAGCTGCTGAGCGACACTTGGCAAATATGAGGGATATGAATGTCAAATGTATAGCCGAGAATGTGTGACAGACTCTTCAGCACAATATGGAGAGACTTGAAACTTCCAATGTGTGTGTGTAGAGTTGTGTGCATACGTCTGTTATACGTGCATACGCTTGTATTAACTGATGATGGCCGAGGAGAGTCTGGGAAGACTGGAAACTATCCTAGAATTCAGCTGATTCATATTTTATCCTCTGTCTTGGCTCAGGGGAGCAGAGTAATTTGAGAGTGCGAGAGACACTCAGGCACACACACACACACACACACACACACACTCACAAAATGAGAGCATATGATGCATGCTGGACAGATTTATGGTGTAGGATTATGAACACTTTACATCTCCCCGTGCCTCCTTCACCCAGAGCCAGGTTGCATTCAGGCAGTATATTCAGCTTGAACCTGGTATCTGATGCCAAGAAGCCCATTCTCACTGCATTTTCCCCTGCAGCCTTCAGGCAGCCGTGGCAGTTCATTTCTCAGTGAAAATGATTAATGTACATGCAAATTACCAAAGCATGGGCACGCATTCAAATATGGGAGACAGCAATCAGGAGACAGTAATATGAAAAACAATATAATTTTGCCTTTGATATTACTTTGCTTTCTCTTATCACTCTTTCTACCAGACACCCATGTTATCACCTCTTTTATCTACCTGCCTTTCTCTTCTAGTCTGTCTATCCATCTATTCATTATACATTCTATGCATTCTTTCTTTATTAGTGGTTTTAGGTACGAATGCCAGTTGAGGTGTGGAGTCTTTCTCAAGGGAGCTATTGCGTCAGGATTTTGAGCTTTAGCAGTCTCCTACCAGTGATCTAGACTGCCTTAAGCAGCATGCTTCCTCTTATCTAAGGGAAATCTCATATCTCACATTATCTCAGAGATAATAGGATAACAATGCTGGATTTTACCCAGCACAGCTCGTCTCAGCTTCTGAGTCTTTTGGAGGATGAGGCCGTCAAGTTCCCAATTCGACAGGGTTGAATTAATTTGGATGCCGTTCTCAGTTGAACTTCAACAGTTGAAGCATTTTTTAATACCAAGGCTATTACCCACGCGTTTGCCTTTTTTTTTTTGTACATTTCTTCTTTGGTGACATTTCTCAAAATATTAAATACTCTGTTCCCTTTTCTTCCCCATATGCATAGTGAAGCATAAAGAAATTGTCATTCTTTTCCCGTTGCACTATTTAGGGTGATGGTTTCCACCATTCCCTCAGGCGTACACATTTGCACGAAACACACAACACACTTGTGCCTCCTCAAACCACCCATGGAGGAACACTCTGTTCTTGGGTGGGGTGAACCATTTTTTTTTTTTTTGGGGGGGGCTGACCCAAGTGAGGAAGCTACTTTCTGCACTTCCATTTTGCTGTCTGATTTGTTTTGAAAGCTG